AATGCAGGGGAGGTCATTCCCTGGGGCCAGGAGGGAGGGATGAACCACATCCACTCCTTGTTTTAACCTGTTCAGCACAGACCTGGAATGCCTCCTGATCTATGGCTTCTGCTAAAGGTGGGAAGGAAGGAAAAGAAGAGGAAGAGAAAGGGAAAGGGAAGGGAAAAGGAAGGGAAAAGGAAGGGGAGTGGGAAAGGGGGAAAGAGGAAAAAGGAAAGAGGAAAACAAAAGAGGAAAGGAAAAGGGAAAAGAATTTGCAAACTTTCCAGTTTGGGAAAGGGAGAGAGTAGGTGTTTCCATGTCTCCCTGATATTCACACAGCACTAGGAGCCCAGGGCCACCTTTAGCTTGCCACAAAGCTGTACAAAAACACACTGCAAGAATCAATAGATTCTGTACTAAACCACTCTGTGCACGACATTATGCTGACAGGGAACGCTGGAACCATCTCTTTGGAGACAACAGCTGATACAACACTAAAAGAAAAGCTTTTCCAGAGGGAGTAAAAAAAAGGAAGAGAGTAAAAAATTAGTCTTCACAGATAAATCATGTTCTAAATAGCATCAGTGACCTCTCTGCATGTGAGAGCTGCTCTTCACTGCCTTTGGAAGGACTCAATGTACGGATATCATCAGCACTGCTACAGTTAGCTCTATGACAAACACATCCCCCAAGCCCTAGAGACAAGACAATGCCCAACAACATATGTATAATATTATTTTCCTCTTAATTATTGAGTACAAGGAAAATGGAAAATTAACAGCAACAAAGAGGAACTTTAACATTATTGCAGCAGTTTCTCTTCATGTATTTTGCAATGCAGTCAGAGCTGCTGATGTACCCCAGGCTTTCACCAGCATTTCCCTCTCTTAATAACTGCAGAATTCAGCTCTGTTCACAGTTTTGGTAATGGGAAAACCTACACCTACTCTCTAGGTAAGTAAGATTGATTGGGAGTGGAATACAGCACCAAAGTTGGATGTTCCACCATGGTTCAGTGGCTCCTTTGGTGGCAGCTGGAGTTTGACCCTCCTGGGGGGATGGAGTGTCCAGAGAAGGACAACAGAGCTGGGAAGGGCCTGGAGCACAAGTCTGATGAGGAGCAGCTGAGCTGGAGAGGGACTCAGTCTGGAGAAAAGGAGGTGTGAGGAGACCTTCTCACTCTCCTCAATTCCCTGACAGGAGGTGGAGCCAGGTGGGAATCAAGCTCTGCTCCCAGGGAACAAGGGACAGGACAAGCGGAAACAGCCTCAAGTTGCACCACAGGAGGTATAGGTTGGATATTAGGAAAAATTCCTTCATGGAAAGAGTTGTCCAGCCCTGGCACAGCTGCCCAGGGCAGTGGTGGAGTCACCAGCCTTGGAGGGATTTAAAAGCCACATAGATGTGGCACCTGGGGACATGGTTAGTGGTGTCCTTGGCAGTGCAGGGGAATGGTTGGACTCAATGGTCTTAGAGGGCGTTTCCAAGCTCGACAATTCCATGATTCTATGGAAGCCCTGGGGTGGTGAAAGTGCTCAAGGCTAGGAAGCACAGAGCTGTTCCCCCATGGATGTGCATGTCGGAGTGATGCTTTAATCCTGACCAACCTCACACTGTGCCAAGGTCAAATCCTTCCAAGCAAAGTTGCTAATTAAAAGAAACCAGAAGAATATGAATTATTCCAAGGTGGAAATTGGGCCGATGGTGTTCTGGGGGTGTCTGGGAAATGCCCTTCAGGGAATTATGGAAAACATGGCCCAGGCTCATGGAACAGTCCCTGCAGCAGAGCCCTCTCCAAGGGCTGTGGGACAAGCAGGGAAGGTGCATGAAAAAGGCTCAGCCCTGTCCTGGGAAGAATGAATTCTACTGGCAAAATTAAGAAAAGAGAAGTGTGAGAATACCCACCAACTGCAGCCACAAGGCATTGGGGAAAATCAATTAATTCAGCACAACTGTGGACTTCCAAACTCCTCAAAGTTGAAAATACAAGATGTATTTGGGAAAAAGAAGGGACAGAAGCTCAAACCCCACACGTGGCCATCACATCTGATGTGCATCACCATGCTCAGCTGAAAGATTTCACCAGGTTTGCTTTTAAACACAAACATTTTTGCACTTCTGAAATATTCAGTCAGCTCACATAGAAAAATACAAGCAGAGCCCATTATTAATTTACAAGGCCCTCTTTAATTTACATGCTATTTTGCTCTGGTATATTACATTTATCAAGGCTTGTGGAAATCCTCTCCACTGAATATTCATGGACTGACGTGTAACATTATCTATTATACATCCA